GTTTTGCTCTTCCAAAGAAAATAATTCAAGCAGTGGAAACTATTTGTAGAAGGTTCTTATGGACAAGAAATACTGAAATCTCAAGGAAAGCATTAGTTGCATGGGATAAGTTGTGTTGGCCTAAACCAAGTGGTGGACTAAATTTTCTGAATATATATACATGGAACAAAGCTGCAGTTGGGAAGTTGTTGTGGAACTTATGCAAAAACAAAAACAAATTGTGGGTGGTTTGGATACATAGTTACTATGGGCAAAATGGTGTGTGGAACATACAAGCCAAACAGGTTTCCGGGTAGTGCAAAATATTTTGAAGGCAGCAAAACATCTACAAGAGGCTGGACTTACTGAGGTAGATATGAGGAGCATGATACAATATAGCATAAGTAGAGTATATATGCAAATGAGAGGTACAAAGGAGAAGGTAGGATGGAGGTCACTAGTATGGAAAAATTATGGTGCTCCTAAGTGGATTTTCATCATGTATCTAGATGTACAAAGGAGACTTGCAACAAAGGACAGATTGGCAAAATGGAGAGTAATGCAAGATTTATTGTGTCCTCTATGTCAGTTAGCTAATGAAGATCATGATCATATATTTTTCCAATGTGATTATGCAACAGAGATATGGAGGTGTATTTTACAATGGCAAGAAATAAGAAGGAATGTAATGAATTGGACGGAGGAAGTACAATGGGGAATGCAGTACATGAAATGCAAAAGCAGCAGGGCTCTAATGTACAGAATGCCAATGTCAAATGTTGTTTATCATATCTGGTTGGAGCGAAATGCTAGGATTTTTAAGCAGCCACAAAAACCAGCAAACTACCTGATTAGGCTTATAATACAGGAAATTCATGGGAGAGGCAATCGATATCCAAGAATAGCTACTAGATTACAAAAGTTGAATACCTTTTCATAGAATATAGTAGTAGTAATGAGATTTTGGTTTAGCAAGGGTGGAGCATATGTCCACACCGGCTAATTTCTTTGTTTTGTAACGTTTACTTGGTAAATAAAATTTTACTTACCAAAAAAAAAAGTTCAAAAGATTTATAAAAGACTTCTTAAAATGACTCGAAGAACTTTCAAGACTTGACTCTCAACTCTACCTTGAATTTGAATTATGAATTCAAGGTTATGCTTTGTGATAGCAAGGATATCTTGATGATTAAAAGTGTTTTTAGATAGTTAATCACGAGAAATGGTCGAAAAACACTGTCTGGGGAGCAAGTCCGCGATGCGGAGATGAATTTAAATATTTGGTCATGAAATAATTTATAAACAGTAGAGTCCGCGTCCTCTCCGCGACGTGGATAGAAAATTTGTTTATTGGGGGAGCAAGTCCGCGACGCGGACTTGCGTGCCAGATTTTACCCGACTTTTTTCTTCCTCGTTTTCTAACCCCAATTCACCTAGAATCGAATGGTTTCTTCCTCAATCACTTAGAATCGAATACCCAACAATATTACACAAGAATCCACTCAAAAACAACCTTAAAACTCATACGATTATCTCAAGAACTCATCAAAACCTCAACAATCAAGATTATGAAAAAAACTTCAATGAAACTCATCAACAACTCAAATCCTTGGCGCGTGGGTGAACAAAATTACGTTGAAATAATGATGATTGGCGCGTGGGTGAATGAACCCAACACTATGTGAACTCACATACCTCTTTAGGGATCAACCCTTGGCAAAAAAGACCTTTGATTCCGCAAGAAATCTCCAAGAACACCTTGACTTTTCTCATTTTTTTCTCCTCTTGAACTCTTTTATCTAAAATCCTAGCGTAATTTAGGATTCTGTAAACTGAACCAAATCAGTTTAGACCCCTAATTAATTACTAAAAATATTTTAAGCTGAAGGGGTAAGGAAAAGACCAAAATACCCCTCATAAATTCGGGTAACTTTCCTTAACTGGACAAACTAACTTTAAACAGGCATATATCCCTCATCCAAAACTCAAAACTTAGCAATCTCGGTGGCGTTGGAAAGAGGATTTAAATACATTTCATTTGATATCTTATGAGCCACCTAACTCATCATGTACTGAAAGTTATGGTCGTTTGAAGTTGACCCAAAACTCACAACTTAAGCATAACTTGCAAAATTCTCAATTTAGCTTTTTCCAAATTAGTTCTTTCTAAATTTAGCTATTTCTAAGGCGGGATGTTACAATTTAAGTCTTAAAGAATTTAACAAGTAACTCAGTCAGTCATATTAGTAAGCATAAGTCAGTCACATAGTTTGTAAGGCATATAAGTAAGTTACATTAGTTAGTTATTAAGTCACATAAGTCAGACTTAAAGAATTTAACATGCCACATTACATTAGTTAGTAGTCACATTAGGAATAAAGGAGAAAAAAAATAAAAAGTTACATTAGTAAGTAGTAAGTAGTCACATTAGTTAGTATAAGTCACATTACATTAGTTAATAGTCAAATTAGGAATAAAGAAGAAACAATAAAAAGTGACAGTCAAACAAACAAGGTACACTCACATTAATAGTATAAGTCACTTTACATTAGTTAGTAGTCACATTAGGAATAAAGGAAAAACAATTAAAAGTGTCAAACAAACAAGGTAAGTACTCACATTAGTGTAAGGTTAGTAATTCACATTACATTAGTTAGTACTCACATTAGGAATAAAGGAGAAAAAAATTAAAAGTGACAGTCAAACAAGGTAAGTCAAACAAGGACGGTTTAAGTCAGTTAAGTATTTGAGCTAATTACACAATACTAATTAACAGATGACCTAAGTAAAATAATATTAAACAAGTGGTCCTTGTTAAGTATGTGAGCTAATTATACACTACTAGTTAACAATTAAGCTGGGTAAATTAAGATTAAACAAGTGGTCCTACCTAACTGCACAGAATGTAATTAATATCAACTATCAATTATATACTTGTCTAGTTCTTATGGACCTACCTAACTATACAAAATAAATAGTCATAAAGAAAGGGAATAAAGACATGAAGAAAGGGGATAAAGACATCAAGAAATGGAATAAAGGCATAACGATATTAAATAAAGACAGGAATGGAGACAATCGACAAAAGAAGAAGATAAAATATCCATAAACCACAGAAAACGACACCACAAAAGCAACACATCTGAAACACAAACAAACAAAAACACTTCTTCAACATAAAGGTGCACAAAATCCTAACAAATCCGCATAAAACGACACTAAAGTAAAACCTTAGAAAACGAAAGAACAACCACAGTTCATTTTTAAGATAAATGTGAACAAATCTCTACAAATCACTATAAAAAGCAGATTCTAGACAAAGAATTAAAGATACAAGTGAAAATCAAAACTCAACAACATCTTTCTTACTAGCTAGGAATGACAATACAAGCAAAAATAGAACACAAAATAAGATCTCGTAGATGAACATAGTAAAAGTGTGAGTACCTATGACCGGATCTGAGTGAATCCACCAAGAATAATGGAGACGAGCGAGTAGTTTACGTCTGATGGACTAGGATTTTTGTTTGTGAGATGAACGAAAGTAACGAGTATAGGGGCTTTTTCTTTAGGATTTTAGAGAGTTTATTTGTGGGTAAATCGGGTGGGTTAAATAGGTTATGGGCGGGTTTTAAAATTTGGATTAAAAAATTGGTCAACTCGGATTGTTGCGTAGGATTGCGCCACGTGTACATAATGAGTGTTCTGTTAGTGGGAGGGGCAAATGTGCACTGATTATTGGACGGCAAGGGCACTGATGGACGAAAAGTATGACGGAGGATATTGACATACCATTTTCGAAAGTTCGAGAATATATTTGTCCTTTTTTCCAATTTTAAAAATTGGGATTCAAATCCCAACAAAGCACAAAAACGTTGTTATTTCTTCCCATCTACATAACCCTTAGTTGACAAAGTTTCTCATTACTTGTGTTGCTGCCTGATAATAAGAAATAACAAATACTCGGTGGAATAACCAAAATAGGCCTAAACACTATTTTTGTAAGCAAATTTATAAAGGAGGAACAGCCAAATGGCATGGACGTTGAAGAATACACGCATTATATATAATTTAATAATAACGTCACTTTGATTTTACCCAATCATTACATAATTCTGAGCAAACACATCTTATTCAAGATAAACCTTCGTGACATAGACATAACAATGTATTAATTTACTTCCCAAGGCCCAAAGTCTCCAATGATTTACATGCTTGCAGCACACAAGAAAAACTAATAGCATCAAGACATACAATGAAATAAAATAGGCATCAACAAGGGATGTGATTAATGGATTAGAATCATGATCAAGCTTATAAATGCAAACGATAATAGGTAGTCTCATGCACAAAGCATCCCGCGTCAGCACAGTTCAGAAAAGAGTTGCACCTCAAAGGACATACTATGGATAGTCTACCCTAATACAAGCCACACCCAAAAGGTGTAGTTTGAACAGTCTACCTAATTCAAGCATTACTATGAGAGATTATACCTAAGATAAGGCAAATGGAAAAATAGAAACATCCCACACTAGCAGAGTTCGAAGAAGGGCCACACCCCTAAAGATGTAATATGAACAGTCTACCCTAATACAAGCATTAGTAACCAAACCCTTCCGCATTAGCAGAGTTCGGAGAAGGGCCCACACCCAAAGGATGCAATGTCCAATGCTAGCATTAGTAACCAAACCATCCCGCATTAGCGAGTGATCTCCCCTAATACAAGGATTAGTATACCTAAAACAAGGCAAATGGAAAAATAGAATGGGGTGAGAGAGGCTCGACCTCAGGATTACTCAGAAGCTATGAGACCTACGCGCTAGCCAACTGCGCCACCACCTGTTGTGAATAAAAACCCACACATTATTTTAAAACCAATGTACAAAACCAAACAAATTTTTCACACAAAATAATACAAAATGCAGGTTTTATATTATAGTTTTGACTGGCAAAGTTAACATCTTAGCAACATGATAAAGTCTAGTAAAATAACAACCAAATCCTCAATATTTTCCATTAACATACAAAAATGACATACATATATGATATATGTATACCATTAACATCTTCTGCTAATTCTTGTTTCCAGGGTCAACATGGGGAATACCATAAGGTGACACCATAGTCATCCTGCAAAACATAAATGATTATCCAGTTTAGAAACAAGTTATGCAAAATTAGTAATGTAGTTATTAATTATATTGGTAGTCTTCTTAATGTGAAGAAATGTAATATATATATAGTAGTAGTAATATATGAATTAGAAGGATAATACAAATATGTATGAAAAGAAAAATTAAAATATGTTACTATGCCTTAGAAAGTTGTAGAGAAAGAGCACTCAAAGTTTATTAAAATATAATAATTAATGTTGTATGGATTTTTCAAATTGACATATATTACAAAGAGCATTCAAAATTTAAAAGTTATAAAAACAGTCATAATAGACTAGAGGGAAGAACCATTTTCTAGTTCTTCTTAATTTGGAAATTTTCATTTTTTATACCTAAGATACTTTCATTATTTTTATATATAAAAGATCTGAAAAAGACAGATAATTTTCTTCTATTCAAACTTGATTGTGAAGATATATTCTTTTTAGGTTTACTATTTGATCATTTGTTGAACTTAAAGATCAATTTGAGAAGAGTAACTAATAATTCACCTTCTTAATTTTCTAAAATGAAGTTATAACTTAAAAAGTTTAACTAGGTCTACACAGACACAAAACAAAATTGATATTTGAAAATAGAAAAATATTGGAAGGAATATTTGAAAGTATGATATTACGTTTATATATGCATTTAACTTTTAAAAAAAAAAATAGATGAATACCAACCTCTCTTTTCGCTTTTCCAAGAATTTAACTGATGATTTTCTTGTTGCCAATGGTACATCTACATGTAACAAAGACCAACATATTAAAATAATTCAAAGATGAACAAAACATTAATCAAATTTAAATTACAAGGAGAAGGAAGAAATGTTTAACCTTCGCTTAAGGTTTTCACAAACAATGGCTGTTTTGACGATTCTGCGAACTTTAGAACTCCATCCACCTACGAACATAATATATAATTCAGAAATCACAGTTATATATAACCAATTCAAAAGTAAAGGAAATAATTCAAGGAGCAATGACAGTTGATTGATAAAAACCTTTTCACTGAAGACTTCGAAAACTGTAACTTTTTCATTGTAGAAAATAGTCAGAGGCGCAATTTTCATGCCGAATCTCGAAGGGCAAAACCTAATTAATAAAATCAATTCAAAGATCAATCGATGAGTATTTTCATTATTGAAAGCATTAACATTATATGTTTGCCAACTTTCTTATATATTTTTTAAAATTCTAGAAATGTTCATTTTTAACATATAAGAGATTTTTATTTTTCACACATAAGAAATCTAAAAAAATATTTTCTTCTTATAAATTATAAGACTGCTACTGCCAATTTTATTTATTTTTTATTTTATAAAAGAGCAAGAAAATGCATTTCCCCGAACTTTTACTGGGAGAACTAAAAAGAAACATTAATACACTGATCATGATAAATTATTCATTTCTTTCCTTTATTTAATATTCTTCTAGAGGGAGAAGTTAATTCCTAATTGAAAATATAATTTAATTAAGTATTCTCATGAAGTAACAACAGTTCTCTTAACTCTTTTTTGGTAAAGATTACCTTTTATATTCTCATACAAATTACTCTATGTCTTTTCAAACTATTTACTTATTTTTGAGGTTAGGATCAATAATTTGAGGAAAAAATTGAAGGTTATGGTAAACTAGATTTGAGAGGTTAAGTAGGCATTCCGACATAAAAAATCACCTCTCTTTTTGATTCTCCAAAACTCCAAGCATAAAGTTTCTCCTTGCCATGTCTAGATCTATATGCAACAAAAATCAACACATCGTTAAAATAATTTGAAAATCAACAAAATATTAATCAAATTTAATTTTTAAATGAGAAGGAAAAGAAAATTGTTTAACCTCCACTTAATGATCCCACGGAAAATTGATTTTTAGATGAAAATGCATCCCTTTCTATAAACTTTAGAATATTTGCCGCCTACATTTACAACAAATAATTCAAAATTCACAATTATGTGTAATCAATTCAACAGTGAAACAAAACTAATCAGAATGTCATTTAATTAATCAAAACCTTCTCAGTGGAGACATCATAAACCGCAATCTTCCCATCATAGAAAATAGTCAAGGGTGCAACTTTAATGCCATTTTCCGAGTCACAATCAAGCCTCATCAACACAATCAACACAAAGATTAATCTATGGATATTTTCGCTATCCAAAGCATTAACCAAGGCAATGTAGTCATTGCATTTGCTTAAAAAATACTGTTATTTTTTTACGAGAGATTTTCATATATATAATTTAACAAGTAAGAGATTTTCAATTTTCTTACACATAATAGATCTGAAAATAAATAAATTATTCTGTTCAAATTATAAAAGAACTTTATCAAAAAATCAAAATCATAAAAAGGCAAGAAATCACTTTTCCTCATACTTCTAGGGAGAGTACTAAAAAAATACATTATTATGATAATTATCCTATTTATCAGAACCTTGTTCATGTTGAAATTGAAACAAATTCCATTGAAGTATTATGATAATTATCCTATTTATCATGTTATAATTGATATTTACATATCCCTATTAGCTTTGAAAATGTTTGTGTAATGAAGGCTACTACTAATAGTGCATAGGCACGTTAAGACTAATGTAACTATATACACAGTTTTAATATAAAATAATATTATCTATTTCAACTAAAATGGATTTTGTTTGTTATAAAGATTATCTTTAAATCTCTTAAAATTATCTTCTATATCTTTTCGTCAAACTAATTGATCATTTATTGAAGTTAAGATTAATTTTGAGAAAAATAATTAATATCTTTTTAATTTTTTAAAAGTGAAGCTTATGATAAACTAAATTGAAAGGCTAAGTAAGCGTTTCCACATTAAAAAATAAGGGTGATATTTGACAAAACAAAACTTATAAGGGGTATTAGGAAGTACGAAATTGTATTTAAATATGTATTTAATCAATTTGAAAAAAAATTAGAAAAATGAGAGTAGAAACCTTTTTACCTTATTTGTGGCTTCTCGAAGATTCTAAGCGAGGAGTTTATCTTCGGCAATGGTAGATCTACATGCAACAAAAACCAACACATTGAAATAAATTGAAAATGAACAAAATTTTATACAAATTTAATTTTCATAGGAAAAGGAAAAGGAAAAGGAAAAGGAAAAGGAAAAGAAAAATGTTTAACCTCCACTGTTTGACGACAAGACATCATTAGTTATTGACATTTTTGCAAACTTTAGAATTTCATTCGCCTACATGCAGAACAAATATTCAAAAATTACAATTACATGAAAGCCAATTAACAATTGAGCGAAAATAGATCATGGATCAATAACATTTGATTGATGAAAACCTTGTCATTGGAGACGTTGAAATTTGCAAAGATTCCGTTGTAGCGAATAGTCAAAAGTGCAATTCTCAAGCCATTTTCCGAGCCACCACAAAGCCTAATAAATAAAATCAACACAAAAATCAATCGATTGATATTTTCATTATCTAAAGCATTAGTCGAGTAATACAAACGTTATATATGTTTGTCAACTTTTTTATATATTTTTTAAATTTTGATGTTCTTTTTACTAGAAATCTTCATTTTTAACATATGAGATATTTCCATTTTTTTCACATAAGAAATCTAAAAAAATATTTTCTTTTAAATAATTCGAGCTCTATTATTAAAAAATAAATTATAAAAGGGCAAAAGATTACATTTCTTCAAAGTTCTAGAGGGAAATGTTTGAAACGAAGTATCTCACCTAAAAGGAGCGAAACCCTAATCAACGTTTTAGATCCTTAAAAAACACATAAATACACTAATCATGATAAATTCTTTATTTCATTCTTGTATTTATTCTTCTTGGCTTTGCAGACATATAATTTAATTAAGTACTCTCTTTAAGGAACAATCCAACTTCTCTTAATTCTTTTTGGTAAAGATTGCCCGTTATATTTTCATACAAAAATACTCTTCATCTTTTCAAAATATCATTTATTGAAGTTCAGATTAATTTTGGAAATTTTTTTTAATGTTATAATAAACTAGATTTGAGAGGTTAAGTAGGCGTTCGGACATATAAAAAAAAAGTAATATTGGACAAAAATTGTTAGAAAAGGGTATTAAAAAATATGTATTGTATTTGAATATGTATTTAAATAACTTGAAAACATATAAATTTTGAAAGTGCAAAAAAGTTCACCTCTCTTTTTGCTTCTCTGAGACTCCAATCATAGAGTTTCTCCTAGCCAAATGTTGATCTATATGTAACAAAAATCAACACATTATCAAAATAATTCATGATGAGCAAAAATATTAACCAAATTAATTTTCAAATAGAAGGAAAAGAAAATTGTTTAACCTCCAGTTAATGTTTCCACAGAGATTTTTTTTCCGGATGGAAATACATCATTAAATTTTGACCTTTCTGCAAACGCTAGAATATTTGCTGCCTACGTATATGATAAATAATTTGAAAATCACAATATGTTTCATTAATTTAACAATGAAACGAAACCAATTAGGAATGAATAACATTTTATTAATACAAACCTTATCCATAGAAGCATCGAGACTAGCCGTCTTTCCGTCATAGGAAAAATTCATGGGAAAATTTTTTATGCCATTTTTTAAGCCACAATCAAGCCTGATTAATACAATCAACACAAATATTAGTTGAATTTTGTTTGTTAAAAAGATTATCTTTAAATCTCTTAAAATTATCTTCTATATGTTTTTGTTAAAAAGATTATCTTTAAATCTCTTAAGATTATCTTCTATATCTTCTCGTCAAACTAATTGATCATTTATTGAAGTTAATATTAATTTCGAGAAAAATAATTAATATCTTTTTAATTTTTTAAAAGTGAAGCTTATGATAAACTGAATTGAAAGGCTAAGTAGGCGTTTCCACATTAAAAAATAAGGGTGATATTTGACAAAACAAAACTTATAAGGGGTATTAGGAAGTACGAAATTGTATTTAGATATGTATTTATTCAGTTTGAAAAAAATTTAGAAAAATGAGAGTAGAAACTTTTTTACCTTATTTGTGGCTTCTCGAAGAATCTAAGCGAGGAGTTTATCTTCGGCAATGGTAGATCTACATGCAACAAAAACCAACACATTGAAATAAATTGAAAATGAACAAAATATTATACAAATTTAATTTTCATAGGAAAAGAAAAAGAAAAAGAAAAATATTTAACCTCCATTGTTTGACGAAAAGACTTCATTAGTTATTGACATTTTTGCAAACTTTAGAATTTCATTCGCCTACATGCAGAACAATTATTCAAAAATTACAATTACATGAAGCCAATTAATAATTGAGAGAAAATAGATCATGAATCAATAACATTTGATTGATGAAAACCTTGTCATTGGAGACATTGAAATTTGCAACCATTCCATTGTAGTTAATAGTCAAAAGTGCAATTCTCAAGCCATTTTCCGAGCCACCACAAAGCCTAATAAATAAAATCAACACAAAAATCAATCGATGGGTATTTTCATTATTTAAAGCATTAATCGAATTAATATAGACGTTACATATGTTTGTCAACTTTTTTTTATACATTTTAAATTTTGATGTTTTTCTTACTAGAAATCTTCAATTTTAACATATGAGATATTTTCATTATTTACACATAAGAAATCTAAAAAAAAATTCTCTTTTAAATAATAAGAGAGCTATTGTCAAAAAAAAAATTTATAAAAGGGCAAAAGATTACATTTTTTCAAAGTTCTAAAGGAAAAGGTTTGAAACGAAGTAGCTCACCTAAAAGGAGAGGAAACCTAACCAACGTTTTGACCCTAAAACACACATAAATACACTAATCATATTAAATTCTTTATTTCATTCTTTTATTTATTCTTCTTGGCTTTGCAGACATATAATTTAATTAAGTACTCTCTTTAAGGAACAACCCAACTTCTCTTAATTCTTTTTGGTAAAGATTGCCCTTTATATTTTCATACAAAACTACTTTTCATCATCTTATCAAACTATCATTCAGTGAAGTTCAGATTAATTTTCGATAAAAGTTTTTAATGTTATGATAAACTAGATTTGAGAGGTTAAGTAGGCGTTCAGACATATAAAAAAAATGTAACATTGGACAAAAAATGTTAGAAAAGGGTATTAAAAAATATGTATTGTATTTGAATATGTATTTAAATAACTTGAAAACATAGAAATTTTGAAAGTGCAAAAATGTTCACCTCTCTTTTTGCTTCTCAAAGACTCCAAGCATAGAGTTTCTCCTAGCCAAATGTTGATCTATATGTAACAAAAATCAACACATTATCAAAATAATTTCA